CAAGTGAAGCAAGAAGACTATCCCAATTAGGCAGATCCCTTTTGAGAAGAGGTTGTTTTTATTTTTGGATTTTTTTGGTGGGCCTTGAATTGTTCCCTTCCCCAATCGTTTTTCCCCTTTCCCCTTTTTAACTTAGTAATTCATTGGTTTTTGGGCAATCAACAGTGACAAACTGTTGGTAATGATCCTGATAGATAGAGGTTATTACCAATCTATTAGGAGAGTGAAATATTGTTTCCAAAATCTGACTTAGAGTACTTTTGTATGAAGACAAGTTAATCACTTTGTGAAAGTCTGTAAAATATTGTAAATTTATTTTCAATTTTTCAATAAAGACATGCCATTGTAGCATAATTGTGGGTTAAAAAAAAAAATAAAAAATAAAATTGATAACAAAGAATTTAAACTCTTTTGTAAATCTTTGTATATTGTCAACAATATACTTGAATTATCAGATCAGTTTATTAGTTTTGTGGCATATTAAAGATGTTACAAATTGTATAGACAGGATGATATTCTTAATTTTCAAAAAATTAATCAGTTATCATTTATAAAATATATTCATATTGAATTTTCTAATTTGGCAATAAAATGAAGAAAAACTTGTATTTTTCACTATCTATACAATTAGAATTATTAAATAGAAATGTAATTAATCAGCCCAATTTGGTTTTTTTATATTCTACTATTTGATATCAATTATTGCAAATATATTAAAATCTGAATTTTGAATCCAATCTTTAGCATTGAATAAAGTAATCAAATATTAACAAACTTTTATACAATATTTATAAGATAATATTTGAAAAACTTTTAAGAATAAAAATTCTGAATAGTTTTTTAGTAAAGAAATAACCAATTTATATTTTAAATTAATACTAAATATAAATTGATTTCAATTATTTGATAATAAAATATATAATATTAGGATTATATACTATATGTGACTATTACAAATTTGTTATATGAAATATAATTTATGTATAAAAATATATTGATTCTTAATATATTATCAGGTCCTAATAAACTAAGTTTACATTAAATAAATTATTCTCTAATTATCAAGAAATTGATATAGGAATAAAGCTTGATTCAACTATCAAAAATAAAAAAAAATAATTTGGATGGCTTTAATTTTAATTTCATATGATATTCTTATAGTATAAAAAGTGTTTGTATATATTTTGGCACTAGTATTATATTATCATTGAAAGAAGAATATCAATTATGAAAATAATTATTATAATTTTAATAATATAAGAGATATAAATAAATAGTTAATATTAAAAAATTTGACAATATATAAATAAGATTCTATCAAATGAAAGTATTATAACTTAAATATAATATGAAAATATTTTGTTAGTAAGAATTATAATAGATGGTCCAAATTTCTTCATCTATCTTACTGTACTTTGATCAAATTCAGTATTTAGTTATAGATTCTATATACTATCTTTTTTTAAGTATTAATAAATAGCTTGTTAAATAAATATGAATTGAAAAAGAGATATTAATTAATAATACATTAGATAAAATACAATCAATAATGAAAATATTTTAAGTATTATTTGATATTGACTAAATTTTGAGAAAAATAAATAGTAACAAGACCTGTGGATCAATAGTGCAGTAGTAATGCTCCTAGGTCACCATGCATTGCTTCCAAGTTCAATACCATTGCTAGGCAATGCCACCTAAGCCTAGGTGATACAGAAAGATTACATCTGTTCCATAATGATGATCACTGCTATTTCTGGCCAAGATTCCGTTTGATCATGGGAAAACCAAAGATCATAAGATACTCCAGTTGGTTTTAGTATTGAAGTCACCTCGTTACTAGACAGATTTTAATAAGCTCCTGCAGATAGGTTGAAAATCTGTACACCATAAAAATTAGGGACTAGTGGAGCTTAGACATGTTAGTTAGAAGAGGGTCTTTACTAAGAATTCGACATTTGTCCAAGACTCCACATGGTCACTCCATAGGTAGGCTATAATAAGTCATGTAAAAAGGATCATCGGCAGGACAAGATGACATTTAAGACTCTATGTGGGTATTTCATAGGCATATTGTAATAAGTATTATAAAAAGAATATCCAGTAGGATGAGATATAAAAGGGACCTATATTACAATCCTGAGCTAGAGAAATATAACATAGACATAGATAGTTGAGTAGTTGGGTCTCTTCCAGCAACAAGCCATATTGGCAGGCTAATAATCTGAAAGTGTGTTCACATTGAGGTACTATTAATAGACATCAAGTCCTTGTATATATTCTCCAAGATGTATATAACCAGATATGAGTTGTATATAGCTAAAACTCCCTGTACAAGTGTACATTTCTTGTACGATTGAGCTTTGTTACACTTAATTAAAAAAAATTTAAAAAAAAAATAGTAACAAAGGATTTTTGAATTTTAATGTTAATTAGTAAAAAAATTTTTTTATAATATCTGCAACTATTATTTTATAAAAATATCTTTCAGATATAAATTATTAAATTTTATCAAAATTTGTCAAATCTTTGATATACTAAATTTTAAAGAAAAATTTGTTAAATGAGATTTATAAAAAATTAGTTATAATGATTAAACTAATAGAATAAAAATATAGAAAAAATTCTTCTTTCATTATATTTATATGAATATATATATGATTATAAACTATTGTATATATTTTAATACTTTTTATTTAAGAAAATAAATAGTATTTTGGATAGGTTTTTGAGCAAATTTAACATTTGAAAATAAATTTTAATGAATTTTTAATTTAGATTAATTGTCTAATAGCTATTAAAATATTGAATCCAAATTAATACAAAAATTAATGAATTATTATTGAATTATTAATTTAACTATATTCTATTCTAATAATTAGAGACTTAAATTTTTAAATAATTGATCGAACATTGGTTCAATTTCTGAATTAAATCAGTTTTCAGCCAATAAGTTATATTAATTTTTAAATGATACATATAATATTTACAAAACAATTATCAATGGATTTGAATATTTTCAGATAACTTTTGCATATGAAAAAGTCAAATTTAAAGATATCTATTGAAATATTAGATTTATTAGTCAAATATTATAAAGCATTTTATGAAACTATGAACTTTTAGAGCCTATTTATGAAAAATAATAAAATTTGATAAATATTTAAAATAGAATAGATCAATAAAGTAGATGTTGAATTAAAAATGAAATATTTAATTCTATTATGTCTTTATCAAATATTAAGGACTTATTTATATTAGCTTTATTTATAAATAATAATAAAAGTATTTATTTATATCTGAGGTAAATTTAATTTTTTTTTATACAGTATATTCAGTAAACTTTCTGAATAATGTTATTAAATATTAATTGACCTTTATTTAATAATATAAACTGATTAATTTGATAGAAAATAGATTTTATTTTAAATCTGAAAATAATATAAATGTTGAATTATGGAATATCAAATTTTATCCAATTAGACATAAATATATAATCCTTATTTATAATATTTTTGATCAATTTATTTTATAACAGTAGATATAGAATCTCAAATTATTAAGATTCTCATAAATATTTAACTATAATTCCTTTAAATCATAAATATAATATATAATTAAAAATTTAGCAAATATGTAAATTTTAATAAAATTGAAATTTTAATGGATGTTTAATGATTTTTTGAGAAATTTTTTAATAAAATATATAGTAAAATAGTTCAAATTATATGACAAATAATGTCAAATTATATAGTAAAAATTGATTAATGAGTTATGCTGAATTATATAGTAGAAATTGATTAATAATTTATTTATATTATTAATATACTGAATTATTTATTTTTTTGACAAATATTATATGAATGGCATTATGCCAAATAAATATTTTTCAACTAGGACTTCTTAATAAAGATTAAGTCATATATTATGCAAGTGGCATTATATCAAATAAACTAGTACTTCTTAATAAAGATTAAGTCATGTGATATAGTTACAAGTTTAAAAAAAAATAAAGATTTAGAATTTAATTTTACCATATATAGTATGTATAATCAATAAATTCTTAAATAATATTAAAAAATCTTCTGATAATTCTTAATTATAAATCTTTTTATTAAAGCTAGTGTTTATACTGTATAATATATAATACTGTATATATTCAAGACTTGATATACTGTAATACAAATATCAATGTAATCTAGCCTGGCTACTGATATTACAAAAAAAATAAATAATAATAATACAAATATCAATGTATTGACAATCCTATCAACTAGAAAAACCAAATACATTTCCTCTCACTTGTTTAACTTTTTTTCCTTTAGTATTTGACAGACAACGAAAACAACGGACACTTGAAGGATGATTTTTGCATGGTTTTGTTGGTTCCTCATCTTCCTCATCGTTCTTTTCATCTTTCTCCTCTTCTTCTATATCCTCTTTCAATTTTTTCTGCGATAGTTTGTCATCGGTAAAGAATGTGGATCTACCTTTTTCATGTGCTTTATTATCTTTTGTGGCTTTTTCATCATGTGCGGACCCATTAGGGCTAGGAAAGACGGGTAAATTACTACTATCATTCTTCTGTGCTTGATTCTTATGTTTTCCGGTAGCCTCGGCATGGAAAATACTTCTCGTAATGAGAGTATCAATATCTGCAGCAGAATCTCCCGGGGATTCTAAGATAGAATTAGATGTGGGAGTGGTGCGAGATAGTGCGATGCGTAATGCTGGAGCCAAATGTGGATTTTCACGAATTGTGTTTGCCAAGACTTGCTCAAATACTGTGAGACCTTGAGAATTTCTGACTCCATTGGCATCGTTATGAATTATGTTCTCATTTTCCAGAGAGAAAGAAGATTTTTTATTATTATTAGAAGTATCAGATGAAATAAGATTACCTTCTTTACTAGAAAGATGTATTTCTCCTGCGACGTGATATTTACTGTCACTGCCGTTGCTGATGGTATATCCACTACTCCTTTCAATAGTGTCGTCTGCTTGTAAACTAGTGTCATCTTTATGAATATCAACAAATTCATGAATTCCCTGAGCACCTTGTGAATAACTTTGACTTGTACCAAGTGAATTTAAGCCATTCAAAACTGAGAGAGAGGAATATCCATCTGTAGAAGGAAGAAATGTTTCAATATTGTCGTAGTAATCGCTCTGTTCGTCTCGATAAATACTATAATAGCCGGGGGTATTTTGTCCATTGGTTATGACAACGGAGTCATCCGCAACATAAGGTTGAAGATATGTGTTAGCATTGTTGCGGTTTCTCTGATCACTTTCGAAGATGCCATCATTTTGGAATAGAAATGCAGAATCCCAATAAGAACTGGACAAATAATTTCCGGAAGTAAATGCATTTTCGTTAACCAGGTAAATGAAGTCGCCTGTGAAATAAGAGGAAGTCAGCACGTATACAAAAAATTTTCTTTTAGTTAATTATTGCTCATATTACCATTAGTATCTGGGTTCATATTTTCAAAAGTATTTAAATTATCGCCTTTGGTTTCACGAATACTTGAATTTTCACTTCCACCTCCTTCGCGATTATCGCTACCACTATTCTCAATTTCTTCACGACCAACACCATTATTATCACCACCTCTATGACTATCATCGCCCTCATTCCTATAACCACCTTCATGATTATCGTTACCGCCACTTCTATCGTTATCTTTATGTTTTTTACCATCATTGTCACCACCCCTATGACTATCACTGCCCCCATCCCTATAACCACCTTCACGATTATCGCTACCGCCACTTCTATCGTTATCCTCATGTCTTTTGCCATTATCATCATCTCTATGACCATCATCGCTCTCATTCCTATAACCACCTTCATGATTATCGTTACCACCACTTCTATCGTTATCTTTATGTTTTTTACCATCATTGTCACCACCCCTATGGCTATCACCGCTCCCATCCCTATAACCACCTTCACGATTATCGCTACCGCCACTTCTGTCGTTATCCTTATGTCTTTTACCATTATCATCATCTCTATGTCCATCATCGCCCTCATTCCTATACTCACCTTCATTATTATCGCTACCGCCACTTCTATCGTTATCTTTATGTTTTTTACCATCATTGCCCCCATTCCTATAACCACCTTCACGATTATTGCTACCGTCACTTCTATCGTTATCCTTATGCCTTTTACCATTATTATCATCTCCTCTATGACCATCATCGCCCTCATTCCTATGCTCACCTTCATGATTATCACTACCGCCACTTCTATCGTTATTTTTATGTTTATCCGTATCACCCCCACCATGATTATAATTGTCACAACCACTATCCTTGTTTTTACCACTGCTGTCATTTTTATTGTCACCATTGCTACTTTCATCGCCGTTACTAGTTGAACCTCCCCCCAAAAATGGTATTCCAATCCCCGAAGAAGGTGGCGCAAGGACAAGTTGTAAACGTGTGCCGAAATTCACATTACCCTCCGAGATCTGTCTGCTAATGACTATATCAGCACCTAACGATGGTTCGCTTATCATTACATTCCCGGTACTTTTACCGGTCCCAATAACTCTGAATGCGATACCAGACTGGCCCTTATTTATAACTCTATTGTTTTCTTGGTTGCTGATTAGAGTCATATCCACATTGAAATCTGTTTTGTCATTCTTATTGTTAGAAACGGTTTCATTGGATTTTTGATGATCGAACGCAGTGAATTTTAATTGACCATCCAGTTTTAGATTTTTTCCTTTTTCTTCATTATCCTTGGAGAAATTATGCCTCGCTCTACTGGAACATCCTGTTTTGGAGTTGAAAAGCGTTGCTTTTGCACGTAAAGAGGCAATTATATTGCCATCTCCATTCACGTTGTTGCTACTACCTGTATTGATTCCTGTAATATCAACATTATTACGCTCCACGTTAGCCCCAGTAAAATTGGCTTCAAAAGTAGCTCTTACATTATTATTTCCAACCAAATTTTTGTGGAATCTCGCATCAACACCCGTAAAATTGACGTTTCTTTGTTTATACCTGATTGGAGTCGCATTTACGCGTTTACTAATCACCACGTTATGGGAGCCAATTATATTATCGTTGGCAACTCCATCAAAGGCAGTAGCACGAATGTTTCCCACAGAAATTTCAGCGTTAGTTACCTTCTTGTCATCAATTGTTACTCTATTATTGTTTCCAATAACATTTCTACTGACATCCAGGCCAAAGGCCGTCGCTTCGAGATTACCCGCCCGAAAACTGAGCTGAGTAGAACTATTGTGGTTTACGTCCACATTTTTCTCGATCCCTGCTACGTTTCCACAAACAGCCACTTCAGCAACCTGGATTTGAGATTTCATTACATTTTTGTCTAATCCCGATGAGAATATCTTGCCTATAGTTTTATTATTACAACCTCCATTCACAAGATCTCTAAGATCATCCTTTTCACCATTGCAGGCGGAAAATGTCGGCATATCTAAATCACTATCATTATCACTTTTATCATCCGAACCATTAGGACCGTTAGGATTATCTGGGTCATTAGGGTCAATGGGGTCGTTAGGACTATTAGGATTATCTGGGCCATTAAAATTAGATGAGTCATAGGCTCTAATGTTCTCAAGTTTAGTTTTTAACTCTTTTACGTGTTTTTCGGCCTCCGATAATTCTTTGGCGTGAATAGCTTCATCGCCGTGGTAGATAACTCCGTTTCGAATATAAGCATATTTTTTTTTGGAAGGTTTCATACTTGCAATGTTTCTGACTTTGAAATTTCTAAGGATAATGACCTCAATTCGAAATAAATAATAAAATTTATGTTATAAGAGAGCATCATTATATGCTTTTTTTAGTATAGAATCAATATTTTTTCGTAAATAATGACACGTATTGTTTTCATGTGAATTTTTGAGTCAGGACTAACAAAGAGTACATTCCAATTTTAGAAATAATGAAATGTACGCGAATTGCCTTAATTTTCATACCCTCTTTTACGTAACTGCCCCTTCAAAACAAGACTCCCACCGAATAAACTACCCCAGGTCCGTTACTTTAAACAAGAAATTCTGATTGGTAAGAAAGAAAAAAATGAGGCGAGTTTATAAAGGGTGTGGTCTATGCGGCAATTTACTGTATTTTTTTTATGTACAACCTTGTAATAAAATCTATTAAAATGTATTTTAGAAAGAAAAGTAACTAAAGAAATAACCTATTACCTTATATAATAATATAATCTTTTTGTACAATTTTCGAGAGGTTAGGACCCATGATTTTCGGGTACCCACTTTAAATCTAAAAGAGGATATCCGGTGGCAAAATCTGCGTAGAATTGCATGCTAAGCAGAAAAGCAGAATCTACAGGATCAATTATTTAATTGGCCGATACTAGTATGATAATTGAAAGCAATAGAAGGATTTATAATATTAATTTGATTATAAATATTTAAAGAAAGAAATATATTTTTCTGACAAACTATAGAATAAATAAATTTATAGAATAAGATGTTCAATCATCATGGTGATATCTGAAACAAAAATAGCGATATCTTAAAAAATTAATTGTAATTAAAGTTTATCAAACTTTGAATCTAAAATAATACTATTAAAGTTTAATTTTGTTAACTTACGTATCCTATTATCAAAGTTTAATAAATTCAATATATATAAAACTAATAAATTAATTTTATTTTACCTCTAAACTTTTTTTTTTGAACGGATGACTCAACCTTGTTTATTTAACTTTCAAGTGTTTGCATAAAACAATTATAAAAATAAATAAATCTAGCTAGTAATCTAATACTGGATGGCTTGTTGCTCAAAAAAATTTTTATATTTTTTTTTAAACCCATAATCATGTTGTAATGGTATGTATTTATTTAGAGATCTAATATAATTACAGACTTTTCATAATATACTGTAATTAACTCATCTTTATACAAAGTTTAATTTAGGAAATAATATTATACTTCTCTAGTTAAATTGAATTTTTCTTTATTTATTAAGATTATTGTCAATAGCTTGTTATTATTGATTGATCCAAAAAATATAAATTGTTAAGGTTAAAGGAAAAGAGGTATAATAAAATAAAAAAAGAAAACAATTTAAGATTTATCAAAAAAGTTTATCAATAAAAATAATCTTTTCAAAAGGAATCTGCCTAATTTAAATAGTTTTTTGCTACACTTAAATCTCAAAAGAAAAATTTTTTATTATTATATATGATATCAAATAAGTCAATTCAACTTATCCTTCATTTAAATAAGTATCAAATTGAATTATTTCAAGAAAAGCATTAGATTTCAGCTTTTATCTATTAAAGTTTTGTTATTATTTGAGAAACTTAGATAAGAAATAAAAGTTCATAATTTATCTTATTCATTTCTTAATCTTTTGATATTATAAATATCTTTATTAGAGAACTTAAACTTTTAAAGCAAATATTTTTTAAACATTTTTTTCAATTATTAATAACATTATTAGAATATATGCATATGATCAATAATGGCTTGTTTTTTTTTTTTTTAAAGCACTAGCTTATTCCTGCACCAGTTCTGAAACTTTATTAAAGTCAAAATTGATTCTAGGGACAACCAGAATGAGTAATTACCCATACTGTCTAAGGATTTATAGATCAATGAATAGTATAAGGGACATCTATTTACGTCTCACCCAACCAGGATGGGGTAACTATATAAGCATCTAGTGCAGAACTATTTCTTAATTCTAATTTATCTGAGGTTGCGGAGAGTCTTATACATTCAAATTTAATGAAGTGATCCACCAGATTACCTCTATACTCGGAAACGGCACTTCTTAGAACCATGGTTCACTGAACGACTTGTTGTTATCCCCTCTGTTATAGGAAAAACTAATGTGTCAGGAACTCACCTAAGATATTCAGCACTACCGATATTAGGAATTTCTTATATGGAATCCTATTGGCTCCATTAGCACTTTAAATTTTTCTTGGGGCTTGTCATATATGTGGAACTTGTTTTGTTATTTGATTGGGACTTGGTTTTATATAAAAGATAATGATCCCTCCATTATTAGTCTTGATTGTCAGGGGCCTGTCTTATGTCTTCAGTGTCACTTTTATAGACATGTCTTGATCATTCTTTGAGTAATCAGGTCCTTCTTTTTCTATTTTTAAAATTATCAGTTCTTTTACTTGAAATCTTTGTATCACTTATTTTGACTATGTTATAGAACAATTGTGTATCTTGTCTTGTTATGACTGCGATAAGTGAGTGGGATTCTTCTTTACATTCCTATTAGGTATCTGAGATCAATTGTATATGAAGGGCTTGTGTCACTTATGCTAGCCTTATATAGAATCTTGTATTGATTTTTGTCATTCTTATTATAGGTATAATACGTGAAAGGTTCTTCTTATTGCCTTATGGAGCATTTAATCATCATCATGGGGAGATGAGATCTTTGTATCATCTTGTGACTTAATTTTCACTTGGTTCTTATGTGATATTGAACTTTAGACCTTGTAATTACAATTTGGAAGCACTACCACTGTGCTATTGATTCACAAATCCAATAATGACTTGTTTATATTTCAAAAATTAATATATTTCATAATAATTAATTATCTTTAATAAGAATTTGTACTATCTAAAATTCAAGGTTAAATTGAGATAAATAAAATTTTCCAAAAAAATCATAAAAATAAAAGCTTTAAAAGAAATAAAACAATTAAAAAAAAAAGAAAATAAATCTTTTTATTATAAAAAATCTCTATAAATTTTTTACTTTAAAAGTTAAAAAGATTTTTAATATTTTACTATTAGTTTTTTTTTTTTTTTTTAACTTTCTTATCATTAATATCAAAGATATTATTTAACTTTTCTTAATTATTAAAAGTCAAGTTTTTAGGTAAAGTGATTTATAAACAAGAGGTAAAATACAAAAATAACTTTTGATATTAGACTTCAAGTTGTTTTAAAAAATGTATTAAGTTTTTATTAATAAAAAAATATAAAACTTCTTGTAAATATTTTATACTATATATAGTAAAGGACAAAAAAATTAAAATTTTTATTATAATTTAGAATTTAATTATTTAAAAAACATAAAAAAATATTAATATAAATATTTTAGTTTCACAAAATAATTTTTAATTAAAATAATTTATATTTATTTAATAATATTATTTTTAATTTTTTTTAAATTTTACATATTAAGTTGCATAAATATTATAAGTTATATATTATTATTATTATTTTTTTTAAGTGTTTATAATCAAACTAGATCATCAATTATTAAATAATTGAAATAAAAGTATATTTTTATTTGAGCAGTATAATATATATCACAACTAAATTATTATTCTAATCTAACTAATTCATTGTAAGTATAAAAACCTCTAAGTTTGATCTTGAAAACAATATTTTGTTCTATAGTGTTTTTAAGTAAAAACTTATTTAGTTTACTGCATCATTATCAGTAAGTTGTCATTGCTATATGACTAATTAAATCACCAAAATACAAGAAATTACAAAAGGATAAATGAAAAAGAGAAAGAAGGATATCTAAAAATATCCAAATAGATAGCAAGAAAATGAAAGAGTAAAAATTGAAAAAAAATTCCTAGCTTCCTCCAAAGATCACTTCTCAAGATCTCTTTTCAATAAGAAATATCTAATTAAGATATTTTTTCTTCTTTTATCTATCTAAAGAACTTATTCATTATTGATCTTGATTTTCTTCTTGCGTATTATCTGAAAAGATTTATCATTTAGTGAGAGTTTTTACTTTCAGGATATACTTGATCCTAACCTTTTTTGTACAGTGATTTTTTATTCACTTGTAGTAAAAGATAATTTATGATAGATCTTAGGTTCTTATGTAATTTAGTAGGAACTGAACCATATTGTTTCAGTAAAATATCTTTAATGGTCACATCTAGTTAAAGAAATTTTACTGATATACATCTTCTATTACTCAAAAAATCAAATTCTTTAACAATCCTTTTGTCTTATAATAGTAGAAGGGTTTCAAAAAGTAATAAGGATTCTTGTCAATTACAACATTCTTTAACAATTTCTGGAAAAATACATTCTCAACTATAATCAAAGAATTGAAGCTTAACATAAACTAGAGACCATTTGATCTTATTACCTGACTGAAATAAAAATGAGATCTTGATCTTAAACTTTGTTTAATCAGAATGATAAAATAGAAAGATCTCAGCTTGAACAAATAGTGGTTTTTTCATTATCTAGAGACTTGTTGCTCATATTTTATTAGTTTCATGAAACTTGATCTATAAATTAATTTAATTGAAAGAATAGGTAAACCAGAATATCAATCAACTTTTTCATCACCAATAATATTATTGGAATATATGGATATAACTAATAGGAGCTTGTTTATATTCTGTTATTAAGGGTATTCTTATATTCAGCTTTTTCCTATTCAATATTTTTTCAAAAAACAAAATTTTCTTATAAGGAAATTTTCACAAAAGTAAACAATGAAGTAAAGTTTTTACATATAAATCAATATCATGACAAACATTTTTGTAGAGATTAGTCTCTTCTATAGCACTGTTTTCAAATACTCAAGATCAACTGAACAGTTATCCCAAGTCAAGGAGCTTTTCACAAAATAGATAGGAAGGGCCTCCTCTATTTGCTTTAGTAACTTTAAACAAACTGCTACCCCACCTAGCAAGTAAACACTGGCTCTTCTAAAAAGAAGAGAAAATGAGGACCACGTAAAAATCAGCTTCAAA